GTTTTTTTTTGGGGTTCACCAGGCATATGGCAGGCAGGGTGCTGGCTGTGAAGCAAGTCTTCACTCTATCTGGGCTCTCTGGCGTTCTCTGCTTCTGCTTCAGCTTCTCCTTCAGGTTCTACTGCTGCTGCTGGTGCTGCTACTGCTGCTGCTGGTGCTGCTGGCGTCCCCCCGTGACGCCGCCCTTAAAAGCACAGTCTTAGCTCAGCTGAATCCCATCTACCTATGCCCACCCCTATTCCTCCCAGGTGCCCGCCATCAGGCATGCATTCAGGACAAGGATCCATCATCTCTCCTGATGGACGAAGGGCAGAAAAGCCTGACATTCTCTTTACCCTACACCCATCCACACATGCCCACACCCTACTCAAGCAGTCTGCCATCAGGCATGCATTCAGGACTGCAGGGATCCACCATCAATCCTAATGGTGGCAGGGCAGAAAAGCCTGATACTTTACTTACCCTACAGCATATGGAAGGGTTGGCCTGAGTGCAGGGGTCTGCGTGTCGCATTGGTGGCTATGAAAGCCAAATCTTGAATGACCACAGACAGAAACCCTAAGGATTGGGTGATTACCCCAGAGTATAGAAACGCCAATCCAAGAGTGAGTGCATCTTGGGGGTGGTTGCATTGTATGACTTGTGACCGAGACTACAACCAGTGTAGGACAGAAGGCCTGATGCTTGCCAGCTTTTGAGGGGCAGATTCCTGGGTTCCCCCTCAAATGAGCAGTGCCTTTGGCAGCAGAAGTGGTGGATCATCTGCTGGTGCCTATAATCATCTTTTGCCACTAGGTTGGTGCTTTTTCTATAGCCGCCAAGGCCTGTGTTATAGGGAACACCAAAATAATGGGTTACCTGACTGTGGGTCCTCACCTGTGTGCTTAAAGGGGACTTCAACTGTGGGCACAACAAAGGTTGATCAAATGTTTATGTACAAGGAAGGGGAAATGCAGGCCAGAGGTGTGGGAGTGAGAGGATTCACCCATGGCACAGTGGGGAGAAGTAGAGGGGATTCAAAACAGGGGAGGAAGAGCGCATGGCTATGGTGAGTGTTCCCAGGTGCTGGGGTGGTGGGAGAGCTATGGGAATACACCTGAGGGGAGAAGCTGCACAAAAATGAAACACAATATATGAAAATAAATTTAAAAATTTGATATGTGAAAGTACAAAACAATAGTTTGAGCAAGTCTTTGGCAGAAGATAATTATAACAATTGAAACACAGAATCAAGTACTAATTCCCAACATCATAACTTTAAGGCAAATATGTTTTAAATTAAACGACTAAATTTTGAATTGGCTTTATTTGTGAAGGCATGGAGAACTTTTATTAATTTAACTACAAGCAGTTTTTACTGACTTGAGGACTTTACTTAGGTCTAGGATACGGGACGGCCTCCAAGATGATGAGTGAGGTCAGGAGTAGCAGAGCCCTGGGCCTGTGGTTAAGGTGAAAGTGGTGCAAGAAAGGACAACTTCCCTGCCTCAGAAAGAGACTGGAGAGTCTCTACACACACAGCCTACCTGAGACTTTTCTCCCTACAGTCAACCCTCGTGTTTTTTTTTTTTTTTAATTTATTCATGCACATAAGAAGTGGGGTGTAGGCTAGAGATGTGGGAATGAGAGGATTCACCCATGGCACAGTGAGGAGAAGAGGCAGATCTACTGAAGTACACTGCTGAGGGGAGCAGCAGGTGAGACAGGAGAGGTCTGCTGCACCATGAGCGTCAGTTCCCTGTCTGGGGATTAAACTCATGCTGCAGTGGCTGGTGATAGCTTGATAGTTCTGAGACTTTAACTCTTTTGCCACCAGGGAGACCCCCACCCTAATTTTTTTATTAATAATTATTTATATATATTTACATCACTGTTCATTTTGTACAATGTTTGCTTTCTTAGGTGTAGTCCCCATAGTTCCTACAAGCAATTCACCTGTGCACCATAACCATAGTCCCCTGTGCTCTTCCCGCCCTTGTTTTGACCCACGCTCCTCCTCCCCTGCAGAATGTCTCTGATTTATAGATTACTGTTTTTGTTTGTTTTTTATTGTTATTATTTTTTTCCTTATTTGTTTCACAATATTTTTCCTGCAAGTGAAACCATGTGATAGTTTTCTTTTTCCTTCTGACTTATTTGACTGAGTGTAATCCCTCCTAGCTCCATCCATATTGCTGCGAATGGCATGAGTTTATCTTATTGGATTGCTGAATAGTGTTCCATTGTGTATATGTACCACATCTTCTTGATCCAGTCATCTATTTTTGGGCATTAGGGTTGTTTCCAAATCTTACCTATTATAATAAGTGCAGCAATAAACATAGGGGTACAGGTAACACTCACCAAATGAAGGAGCACCAACATCTATAAGACAATTATTATGAGCTCTGAAAACAGACATTAGAGGAAATACATATATACTAGGAGATTTCAACACTGCACTCTGACCCAAACAAGACAAAAAATGAACAAGGACACTAGACCCTAAATAAAGATCTAGACCTCATGGGTTTAACAGACATTTACAGGACACTGCACCCAAGAAAATCCAATATATTTTTTTTCTCAAGTGTGCTCGGATCATTCTCCAGAATCGATCATACTTTGGGCCACAATAATGTAATGTTTTACAGATACATTCAGATCAAAATCATTCCAACTGTCTTCTCTGATCACAAAGGCATCAAACGGAAATAAACCATGAAAAGAAAGTAAGGAATCTCCCACTTCATGGAGATTGAAACCCACACTACAGGAAGACCATTGGATTAAAGAGGAGATCAAAGAAGAAATTAAAAAATACTTTGAGTTGAACAACAATGAAGATGTTAGGGGGAAAGGATGTCCTAAAGCTAATTCCATACAGGCTTTGTGGACTCCACCCCCCCAGGCCAAAGCCAAAGACACTGGGAACTCCAAATCCCATCACCACCAAAGGAAGGTGGCTGGGACCTGAGGGTGGGGTTAAGCAGCCAGGTTGGTATAAAGCCAGACACTTGGGCTTTGGAGGGGTCCCCATTTTGGCTCTCCACCAGCTCGCAGCATCTGGCCAGCTCGGAGAGTGCCTTTGGTTTTCCAGGTTGGCGGATCAGGTAGGACGCATTAAAGACTTTATTCCCCATTTTCTCCTGAGCTGTACGTTTCTCAATTCCCTTTCCCTTGTTACCTTTTTATTAACCTGTTGTGTGTGTCTGTAGTGGAGTATTAATAAGTCCCTTTTTAACGGCGGGTGAGGACCCACAGCCAGGCAACCATTTTATATGAGGGCTGCTCTGTAACACTTGTGCACTCTCCCGGTTTGCTTGAAAGTATAAGGGCTGCGGAGACCCTCAGCAGGACGATGCCTGCACCCTGATCAAGTGTCCGCGTCTCCTCATTCCCCCTCCCTCACGATTGCGCCTCGCCTTCCCATCCTTCAGGAACCCCTGACGGCCAGACTGCTGCGGCTGGTTCGCAACAAACATGTGTTTTAAGTTTGCATTTATAAGAAATAAATTGTTTTTTGGCTTTAAACCGAGACAGAAGATTTACAACCTCCACAGCCACGATTGGCTCTCCAGCTGCTGCTACACAAGACAG